ATATATATGTAGAAATAGGAGCTAAGTTATGCGAATTTGGCCACTCAGAAATGGGAATATTTAACGTAGTCTTTTTGTTTATTGTTTTCTTTTTACTTTTGCTCAATTCCCAAAAAAGTTAAGAGCGCTTTTGTCAAACTAACTTATCTTATCCTCCTAACCTAAGGCTGTTTGACAAAATTCATGGATTTTGCTTAGGAATGTTATGATCACTCAATTGACTTTTCATGTTAAAGAATCCTTATCTGAACTAAAAAGAGATCTCTTTTTCTTTTTATCTCCACCAAATCTTTAATAAAATACTACTCTTATTAGGTTCTTGAATGATGAAGACTACCACGGTGGATTTGAACAAGGAGAAATAGAGAAAGTATTTTCAGCAATGGAGGCAAATTACGAGGCATGGGTTAATGGTTTTGCTCCGTTAGCTGTCGGAGCAGATGTTCCGGCGGCCGTACGAGAATTTAGCAGGACATTGTTTAATATGAGACCAGACATAACATTGTTTGTGTCAAGGACAGTGTTTAATAGTGACATGAGGGGAGTTTTAGGCCTTGTGAAAGTTCCATGCCATATATTTCAGACAGCAAGGGACCATTCTGTACCTGCATCAGTGGCTACGTACCTAAAGAACCACCTAGGTGGTCGGAATACAGTGCATTGGTTGAATATTGAAGGTCATTTGCCCCACCTTAGTGCCCCTACTTTATTGGCTCAAGAGCTTAGAAGAGCTCTTTCTCATAGGTGAATCTATTTCTACGTTGGTCGGACTTTTCAGAAATGTTGTTGCTCTCGTATTAGATCCTCCAAAAATGTACTATTTTAAAGGATTTGACATGCACCTGATAGTATTTCTGAAAAGTTCGAGCAATATAGATCTATCCCCACCTCCACCTCACCCCAACCCCGACACACAACCAAATTAAAAGAAAAAAAATAACCGTGGTTTTTTTAGTTTTTGAATCTTCATACACTACGTGGATTTGAGGAAAATTTTGGATTTTTACCAAATACGATGTTGAGAGCATTCAAGAATAATAGTCCTTACAAAAAATGTGAAACACACAAACTATGCACAAGTTTTGTGAGTTTTCTTTTTGTGCATTGGGAGTTACTTAAAATGTGCTTAAAGATTTTTGTCCCTCAAAATTTTTGTTGTAAAGACTTATTTTTACTTTTATTCAAAATTTCATAGAAAAAAGAGAGGAGGTTTTGCTTTTCTTGTTCCAATTTAGTGTGAGGGAATAAGGTGAAGGAGGTGGTGACACTAGGCGAAATGGTAGGCAAGGATCCATTATTATTATTATTATGAGATATGATTAGCCAAAAAAGATAGGATAAGAATCTGCACATGAATTTCACGTGATGAGAGTCCCTCCCCACTATACCATTTCCTCTTTCATCTTTATATATTTTGGCATTTTGGGTTGTTTTTTCAACCCCACTTTTGTTTTTCTTGCAAAAGTCATGTGGTCCAAGGCAGAAGTATCTGTCCTTTTTAGAATTTTGAGATAGGCCAAAATTATGGCTCTTAGAGTACGGTAGTATATTGTTCTATTATAAAGGACCTGGCTGATCAAGATTTGAACGGATAAAATTGTACACTATTGTCATTGTTTGCCAAATCAATTTTAATATCTGATTTTTAAGCAAGTTACGTAGTGGTAGTACTTTTTTTGTAATTCAAGAAACATAGGTGTGTGAAGTGTATATACAAGATTGGTTTTGAGAGAATCTAAGCAGTATCCCACTACTCGTTTTGTTGTTCGCAATGTATCCAAAAAGTTTGTATGACCCACCAGTTAAATCCAATACAATCATTTTGAAGAGTCTTTCTACTGGATATTGTGACCCCAAAATGGCTTTCCTATTTATTTTTCTCTTTTCACCTCGTAGCCTTTTGCAAGTTGCAACTATTGATTCTTCAAATTAATAACATACAAATAATATTGTAGTACAGAGTCTTTTTCCAGAAGAGAATTGATGCTCAAAAATAAAACATAACGGTTCTTTGAAAATATTAGGTACGCAATCGAACCATTGTTCTTGTATTCTTCTGTTTCATTTGGTTTTGTTTTGTGCTTAGTGGTGTTTTTTACAAAAGTTGTTAGCAAGCGTGTGATTAGCCAATTGGATTTGGAGATTAAAAAGCACTTAAAAAACACATGAACACTCGTTTCTGGAAGTTGGCATATACTTTGTGCCTCGCCCTAACTCACCATCTTATGATATATTTTAACTATCAACGGAATTTTCTCAACAAATCTAGCAAATAGGAAAGAAATCGAGAAAACTACCCTCTATAATCGTAAAAATTGCATGGGGCGCCCTATTTGGTCGCCCCATTTTAACTTATACCCGTTTTGTTTTTCCGTTTGCATCTGTACCCATTTTTTTTTTTGTTAAAAGCGTTTTAAAAAGACAATTTTGCCCTTCAAGAGTATTGACAAAACTGTAGACTGCAGGACAAAACTTCAGCATGTTTTGGTATGAAGTTTTAGCAAATGAACTAAATAACTTAAGCATGTTTAGACTAAAGTTTTAGCAAATGAACTAAATAACTTAAGCATGTTTAGTTTGAAGTTTTAGCAAATAAACTAAATAACTTAAGCATGTTTAGTCTGAAGTTTTAGCAAATAAACTAAATAACTTAAGCATAATGAACTAAATAACTTAAGCATGTCTAGTCTAAAGTTTTAGCAAATGAACTAAATAACTTCAACATGCATTAGCAAAAACTCATTAGAAAATTACATACTGCAAGACAAAAACTTAAGCATGTTTAGTCTGTTTTCGCAAATGAACTAAATAACTTCAGCATGTTTAAACTGAAGTTTAGCAAATGAACTAAATAACTTCAGCATGCATTAGCAAAAACTCATTAGAAAATTACATACTGCAAGACAAAAGCTTAAGTATGTTTAGTCTGAAGTTCTCGCAAATGAACTAAATAACTTCAGCATGTTTAAACTGAAGTTTAGCAAATGAACTAAATAACTTCAGCATGCATTAACAAAAACTCATTAAAATATTACATATTGCAAGACAAAAACTTAAACATGTTTAGTCTGAAGTTTTTGCAAATTGTAACGACGCGACCGGTCGTTTTGAGCTCTAGCGCGTTGTTCAGCAGTTTGAGGCCATGAGCAGCTTCACTTTAGGTATTATGACTTGTACACGTGGTCGGAATTGAATTTCGGGAAGTTTAGAGTCGATTTGGAAAGAGAATTCTTATTTCGGAAGCTTTAAGTTGAAAGAATCGACTAAGATTGGATTTTTGAGTAAACAACCTCGGAATCGGTATTCGAAGGTTCTAGTAAGTTCGTAGGATGATTTTGGACTTGGGCGTATGTCCGGATCGGGTATTGGAAGACCCGGGAACATTTTGGCACCTATTGTGGAAGTTAGCATTTTGGAGGAATTTCATAAGTTTGGGTTGAAGTGAATTTCAGGGTTATCAACGTTCGTTTGGGATTCTGAGTCTGGGAATAGCTCCGTATGGTGATTCTGGAGTTGGGAGCGCGATCGGAAGTGAATTCGGAGGTCCGTAGGTCATTTTGAAGTCATTTGGCTAAAGATAGAAATTTGAAGGTTTTTGAGAAGTTTGATGTCACGACCCCAACCCTGGTCGTGATGGCACCCAACACACTGCTAGGCAAGCCCGACCAATTCCATAACTTTAACCATTTATACAACCCACGAATTACTTAACATGGATGAATTACTAAATCACAATACTGAATGTCTGAAATAAAGTTAAAACATGTGGAAAACCCAAGTAGAAATACTACTGCACAGCCCGAAGAATCCGGTGTCACAAGTCTGAGCCTCTAATATACGAGTGTCAACCTACTACATAATGTTCTGAAGAAATGCGGAATCAAAATAAATAGGATAGATGGGAAGATCAGGACTGCGGACGTCATGCAGCTACCTTGATGCTCCCGGATGTGATGCTCAACAGAGAAAAGTCTCACTCAGCCTCAGTGGGTGCACCTGAATCTGCACACAAGGTGCAGGGAGTAAAGTGAGTACTTCCAACTCAGTGAGTAATAAACATAAATAAAGACTGAGAATAAGAAATCCTGAATAAGCACAAAGTATTTCTATAAATACAGCAACTCGAACCCAGCAGCATGAAATCAATAAATCAATGAAAACGCTTAAGGAAATACCACAACAGATAAATAAGTAAATGCCAATCAAATGTGCAGTGCAACACATAAACCGGTACTCTCCAGTACCCGCTGCGGCGTGCAGCCCCCTCCATTTATTTATCGTCAACGGCGCTCACTGGGGGTGTGCAGACTCCGGGAGGGGCCCCTTACAGCCCAAGCGCAATAATAAGCCATCTCGTGGCATCAACCAGGCCCTTGGCCTCATATCAATATCAATACAGTACCGCTGCGGCGCAGAGCCCGATCCATAATCAGTCCAAAATCACATAAGCCCCTCAGGCATAAAAATATAGAAATATTCGGCCCAAACTTCCTTTGAAAATATTAATTAAGTTTCAAGTGAGAGAAAAGGTGGCTGAGTTTACAAAACGACATTAAAAACCAGGACTGAGTTCATTAGTATGTAAAAATGGTAAGAAACCAGTAATAACAATCCCTGAAGGATTAAATCAATTGGCACGAAGCCCAAATATAGCAAGCGGCTCAAATTATAATGATAATAAATGAATTTCAGTCAAATACGCAGTATATTCATCTACCGGGACGGACCAAGTCACAATCCCCAACGGTGCTCTACCCCACGCTCGCTACCCGGCATGCAAGTCACCTCAATATAGCACTACGATGTGCAAATACGGGGTTTCAAACCCTCAGAGCATCATTTACATCTATTACTCACCTTAAGCCGGCCAAAAGTCTAGCTCGCTATGCCCTTGCCTCTCGAATCGACCTCCTCGCGCACCGAATCTGATCAAAACCACAACGAATACATCACAATGTGCCAAAGGAATAATACCCAATCGAAAAAAATCAAAAAATAGCGAAAATCTCGAAATTAGCAAAACCCGAGCCCCGGGCCCACTTCACGAAAATCAGAAAATTTAATATCAACGGGTTCCTCATCTCGCCCCGAGTCCATGCATATAAAAATTACCAAAATCGGAGTCCAAATGACCCCTCAAATCCCCATTATACCTCTCTTAAGTTTCAAGCCCTAACCTCCATTCTTAACCCTTGATTCCTTTATTTTTCCGTCTAAATTCATGTATTTAAACCGTGAAATCATGTTTTAAGTCCAAGAATTCATACCTGATCAAAGTCCTTGAAACCCTCTTCAAACTCGCCCAAAAACTCTCCAAGTCCTAAGTGAAATAGGTTACTCTTTCAAAAATTCGCGAAGAAGACTAATTTAATATTCTGCCCAGGCTTCTCGCTACTACGGTCCCATTTCCGCTTATGCGGGACCGCTTCTGCGGCCATTATACTGCTTCTGCGGTTTTTCACTTAAAGGCTTCGACCGCTTCTGCGGCCCAGAAATAGCACCAGCGGGATGCTTCTGCGGTCCACACTTCCTCTTCTGCGGAACTTGCCCTGAGTCCAAGACTCGCTTCTGCGACTTCCTCCTCCTCTTCTGCGTGACCGCACCTGCGGTCCCATAACCGCAGGTGTGAAAATACCAGATACCAGCAGACCTTAACCATGCAAAAATTCTGAAACTCTCCGTTTATCCATCCGAACTCACCCCGAGGCCCCCGGGACCTCAACCAAAAATACCAATGCATCCTACAACGTTATTCAAACTTGTTCCAATCATAAAAACGCATCCAACAACACAAAAATCATCAATTCTCATCGAATTCAAGCCTAAGTTCTTCCAAAACTTCCGAAACACGCATTCGATCAAAAACCCGACCAAACCACCTCCGAATCATCTAAAATTTTGCACACACATCCCAAATCACCTAACGAAGCTACTGCAACTCTTGAAATTCCATTTCGACCCTCGGATCGAATTCTCACCTATCAACCGGAATTCGCCAAAATACTAACTTTGCCAATTCAAGCCTAATTCTACACCAGACCACCAAAAATTATTTCCGATCACACTCCTAAGTCACAAATCATCCCCCGAAGCTAACCGAATCATCGGAATTCATATCCGAGCCCTCTAACACAGAAGTCAACGTCCGGTTGACTTTTCCAAAACAAACCTTCCTTAAAGAGACTAAGTGTCTCATTTCCTTCTAGAACCAATCCAAATCAACTCGTTCACACCTAGCACTTATAATGAAGCATAAAGAAATAGAAAATGGGGGGAAATGGAGCGGTTCTCATGAGACGACGGGTCGGGTCGTCACAATTTGCTTTGTTTTAGACGTTCTGGAGTTAGAGCACTATGTAGTATCCTTAGCTTGTGATCATGAGATTCCGGGTTTTGGGAAAAGTATTTGTTTTTGAGAGTTAAGATTGTGTATGCCGAGCTGAACTATTAAACAATGTTTTATTTACTATTTCGATTTTCATTCATCTTCTTCCACAAATTGGTTTACTTTCCGCATTTTAGGCTTACCTAGTCGTAGGGACTAGGTGCTGTCACGATAGTTCACGGAGGGCGAATCGGGGTCGTGACTTTTACGGTGGCTAGCTAAAGGGCCTAATATGGTTGCCAAAAGTTATACTGCATACTTCATTAGTGGATACCAATTTCATACCATAGGACGAGATTCGTCAGGAAAGACTCAAAATAGTGGAGTGACTTTATCGGCAACAACTGAT